GCTTGCCAGGCAGGCGCTTTTGCCGCTGAGCTAAATCCCCAGCCCCGCTATGTTTTGACACAGATACATACCTGTGTAACTACCACAATTGTGATAAGGGATGTTTCAGTTGCCAGGTTCCCTGGCACCTTTATGGTCAGTTCCCAGCCCTTCTGCCCCAAGCACCCTCTTGAACATTGTGTCTTTAAATCGTATATTTAAAAGTCAGCCTCCCTTTGGAGATAAAATTTCTCAACTTCTTCCCTTCAAGGTGGTGTTCAGTTTTTCTTCCTTACTGACTTCAGTATAACACACACGCCAACACTCACATTCCAGTGATTTTCACAAATGGACACATGCAAGTAACCAGCACCAGAATGGGAAACAGAACATGACCATCCTCATCCTCAACCCCCTCCAAAAACCTCACCCCTTGTGGCCCCTTCTAGGTACTCCACTCTGGGGAGCCACTGTGAATACTTGGGAGAGTGCTGAAATTGAACATACTGACCCTTCAGGAGAAGTCAGCTTAATTAGAAAGACTAAGGTGGCAACTGGATTCTCACTTTTATTTTGTGATTTTTTTTTTCTAATTTCAGTTTATTGACTCATCTGAAGCTCTGTAAAGACTTTGAAGTGGACAATCACATAAAAGATTTTGCTGCGAGACTATCATTAATACCTAGTCCCCCGCCTGGACCACTCCATTTGGTAAATTAAATCTGGAATTATATTACAGGTTTTTCTTTGCAAGTAGTAAAAGTAATATGCTGAAGATTAAGTTCTAGCTATGTTTAAATTATGGTCCCCAAGGCCCTTTGTATAGGTGAAAAGTGAAACATTTAGGATTGAGTTTGGCTGAGTGGCTCAGCTAAAGAAGAACTGAGCTAGAAGTATGAAATGGGATACTTTGGTGTTAACATGCAAGTTTGTTTCTTGCTGTGCAGAAAATACATAGAAACCCCAATCCTTCAGCCTAAGTAAATCCTCCTAATTTATTTAAATTTGAAATTCTCCTTTTGTTCGTTTGTCTTGAACATTGGGTATTGTATTTAACTTGTTAAGGTTTTCTCTTGTACAGAGGAATTAATGAAGAGTAACTGGTTTTGTATGGTTTGTTATTCTTAGGAGTGCCACTGTGTTTAATTAATATAGACAAGGACTTCGCAATCTGGGTTCTGTTTTGAGCAAGGTTACCAGTTCTTAACGTGGGTTTCGGGGTGAAGCAGTTGGAGAAGTGGGGCCCAAATTCCCCTTGGGTTGAGTAATGCGTTAGACTGCTGAGCTGGGTGAAGAAAGTGTTCTGTGTGACTCAGCAGCTTCTAAACTCACCAGCCTCATGCAGGATGCTTTCTTTTTAAAACACATCTGTTAAGTATCTGGGACTGTTTATTGAGCTTTACTTTATTAGTCCCTTTTGGGAGATTATACACATAAATCTTGGACCTCTACATTTTTTTATTATTGACTATTGAAAAACAAGTTTTACTTACCGGGAAACTTGTGGTCCTGAATTGAAAACATATTTTTGATATTACTCCAAACCTAGCAGTGTGCTAGGTAGAGAATCCTGCAGGTGCATTTGAGTCTAGACAGAGAGCAAGTCGTTTCCCATCCACTCTCAGGGACCTTTGTTGGGAGTGATTCTATTTTGTTGGTACAGATGGGAAGATTTCTTTTCTGAAGTTTTTAGGATAAGGAAATTGTTTCACATTTTGGGTATTTTCTCCCAGGTTTGGAATGTTTGCACATACAAAATACCTTGGGGATGAGACCTAAATCTAAACACAGAATTTATTTATGTTTCATATACACCTGGTACACATTGTCTGAGACATTTTATTAAATATATTTAGTTCACTTACTTTTTTTGTGGTATTGGGGATTAAACCCAGGGCCTGCTTATTGAGCTGCTTCCCCAGCACCTTCCTGCCCCCCACTTTTTGAGACAAGTTCTTACTAAGTCACTAAATTGCCTGGGCTCGGTTTGAACTTGTGATCCTCCTGCCTCAGTCTTCCAGAGTGTTAAATTGCAAACCTATACCTCCACACCCTGCTGCCTTTGTTTTTTGACTGACTTATATATGAGGTCAGGTGAGGAATTTCCCACAATGACGTCATGCTAGTGCTCAAAAATGTGTGGACATGGAGTGCTTTGTAGTTTGGGTTTCAGGTTAGGGAGACTCAGCCTGCCACTGGTGTTTTCTTGGTGACAGTGATTACAGTGAAGTCATCCAAGTTTGTGCTTTCACCCTGAAGCCTAGCACTGCTCCTGAGTGTGCAGTAGATAGAGCAGGGCACAGCTGTGCCTTCTAGGTGTTCACAGCAGCATTTGTGCCTACACACCTGGTCTGCTGGTTTCTGGTCCCCACATCCGCTGTCCTGTGAACAAGTTCATGGAGGGTGATGTCTGACCTTCCCTTCACCTGTACATTCACTCACCCCTCAGGCCCTGCCCACCTACCTACCTGTCCCCTTTACTTTTTTTTTTTGTTTTGTTTTTTATTTTTTGGTACTGGGAATCGAACTCAGGACTTTGCGCTTGCCAGGCAGGCACTGTGCTGCTGAGCTATATTCCCAGCCCTTTCCCTTTACATTAATCGTGCTCCTGCATCTCCCTATTCTGAGCCACCTGCTTCTCCCATGTGTGTGACTTGGGAACCACTTGTCTGCCCATTTCCTTTTATCCTCTGCTCAGTGGCTTCAGAAACCACTAAAACCCGCAAGTTGGGCTCCATTTTTCTGCTTAAACTCCACAGTGGTTCCTCAGTGCACTTCTCAGCTAAGCCCCGCACCGGGCACCTAGCCTCACTGTCCAGCTTCGCTCTGTACCTCTTACCCTTGTGTGCTGAGCTCCAGCCACATTGGGTTCCCATCAGTCCCCTGGAGGTGCTGCCCCAGGACTCTTGCACATGCAGTTGTCTGTGGGAGTCAGTGGTCTCTTCCGTAGTCCCGGGAGAAAACAGTGAGAGGAGGATATGGAAAATAAAGACAAGAGATGATAGCTGGGCTCAGGTGGAGTTACCTCTTGCCTGATGAGCAAGAGGACTGACTCCAATAGTAGGTGCGTTTATTTTCTACATTTGCAAAGTAGTATCATGAGAGACAATGTTGCCTAGCAACTAAAACAAAGACTAAGACTAAGACTGTAATTGTCCAAGCAGAATACTTTTTTCAATACGGAAGTAGCTTGACTGCCCTTGGCACTCTGGATCTGTCCCACCCTCAGACACATGACCAACAACCAACTCCAGCAACTCCCAACAGTTGTCAAGTAATTCCTCCATGTCTGTGACCAGCACCTGCTCCTCTTCCAGCTGGTGCACAGCTGTCAGCTCCTCACAACAGCCTCCGGGCAATCTCCTTGTCCCTCTCACGGTCCCCAGCCCTTCGTGCAGGGCACAACACTGTCTGTAGTGAGGCTGCATGTGTGTGTTTGTGTTTAATGTCTGTCTCCTCCACCGGACACTGAGCGGCCTGTGGAAGAGGCCACAGCAGCACTGCCTGCCTACCTCACATTTGTGCCCTGCTGGGTTCATTCAGGCGCTGTGACTTCCTTTAACTGGTCTCATTGGCTACTGGCACTAAGGGAGAACATTGCTCATGATCCATTTGAGAGAATGTCACATGGTGGTACTTTTTTTTTTTTTTTTTTTTTTTTTTTTACTGTGGTGCTGGAGATTGAACCAAGTGTCTCACACATGAGGGATAAATACTCTACCGCACCCCTAGTCCTCTTTAAAATTTTATTTTGAGACAGAATCTTGCTAAGTTGCCCAGGCTAGGCTTGAGCTTGTGATCCTCCTGCCTCACCTTCCTCAGTAGCTGGGATTACAGGTGTGCATCACCATATCCAGCATGTTTGTTGTTTTGAAGAAATGCAAGAGGTTGGTTTAGGTGAGGATTTTCATGTGCACCGGGAGCTGACTCAACAGCACCTTCTACAACTTGCTGCCAGTTAGTGTTTCCTGCAGGTGTTGCTGGCGGTTGTATTTTGAGTGATGTGCCTGGGTATGACATGCAGGCACTTCCTGTTACTTCTGGACTGGGTCAGCTCCATCTTTGCTAACTAGAAGATGTAGGAGGCCCCACAGCATGAGGATGGGGAAGAAGTGGAGGCTGAGCCTTGTCCCCTTGTCCCCTTGTTTGGTGCCATTATCCTTGATATTGCCTGGACCCCCAGCCTGAGAAAAGCAGATAGTAGGAACACCAGTGCCCTAGAGCTTCCTCTGCCTGCAGTGTTGCCTGCTTTCCAAATTGTGGACATATTGGGTGCACATAATTACATGTGCCTCTGTGTATGTGTATGTGTGTGTGTGTGTGTGTGTGTGTACGCGTGCATGCACTTGCGTCCTACCCCCATTGTTCCTGGGTCACTGCCTATGTTGCTTTGAATGTGAACCTACTCTTGCTTTGGGACTCAAAGCAGATGACATTTGGTAAGAGCTGACCTAGAATCTGCACCTCCTCAATTTCTTCACTTACAAAGAAAGTAAGACAACAGCCCACAGGGAGTGAGGGTGCGGGCTGTACACCACCTGCGTGCAGCGAGGACTCCCAGCGACAAGCAGCAGCACGAGGTAGAATGATTAGCATCTGCTTTTATGTTTAATTGGGTAATTGGCTGACACATTTATTTTTTGAAGTATTGAGAATTTTCATATAAACTGCGTAATTATTACTACTATGTCACAACCTGGAGAATTTAACTCCATTTTATTCTACATGGAAAGGCCTTTATTGGTCACATAAGTGACTCTCTTATCTTACTTTTGAGGCACTGGGGATTGAACCCAGGGCTCCATGCTTGCTGGGCAAGTGCTCTGCCAGGGAGCCACACTAGCTCAAGCTGCCTTATTTTTCGTGTGAGTTGCTTCTGTAGGCAAATTGCTAACAGGAAGGCAGAGTCTCTAAGTACTGATGAGAAGCACTTACTGTGTCCTCAGGACCAAGAAATTATGCTCTTTTCTTGTTTCTGGTTTTCCTCCTAGGAAAATACACTTACAACAGTGATGTAGGTGACTGCAGAGAAGTACGAATAGCAAGTGCTTCACCTTGTTACCCTTTCCTTGACTCAGTGCCCTGTGGCTCCCAATTTTCTCCTCCTCTCATGCTTTGCCTTGGCGAAGCTTCTGTGTGTGTTTCTTTTTTATGTTCTGGATCTTTGCTTATGACTGTATCATTCCATTCTGCTCATTTCCTGGAACCCGGGGCAGAGAAGGCACCTGGGCTCCTGGACCCCTGTGTCAACATCCGTGGTGCTGGAAACTTGCTGTCCACAGCTTCATCTCCCAACAAGCTGGGAAGCCCCTCTGTGCAAGGAACTGTACCTTCCTCTTCGATTTCTTCCTTCCCCAGCTAGGTCCTTTAACACTACATGGGCATTCTGTGGATAGGGAATTTACACCGAAACGTTATTTCAAAATCATGTCATTTAGAAAAAGGAAAAGTCTTTCTTACAATTTTTTGAACTACAAGTCTAAAACAAAATACTGAGAACATATACTATGTAATAACTAGGAATAAGACCTAATGCTGAAGAATAATTTGAGCATGACTGCTGTAAAATTTGTGCCAGATGGGACAAATGTCTGTCTTTGTCTTCCAGTGAGCGGTTTGCTGATCAGTTAACTTACCAAAAAAAAGTCATTATGTACTCAGTTTGTGTGTGCACTCCCGACAGTCTTGTGGATCTCTAGACTATTATATAATTCTGTGACGTATCACCTGGTAGAGTGAGTCTTCCAAAGTGGTCTCTAACTTAGACACTTCCCGTGCCAAAGTGGTGAATTTGGGCATATGTCAGCCTCCAATGGGAGCAGTGCTCTGAGCTAACTGTGGCTCTTGGTCATCACAGATGTTTAATATGAAGCCACTGCACGTCGTGTTTCCCTCCCGAGCAGACCCTGACAGCCCTGTCATCGACCTGGACCTTCACTTGCCCTTGCTGTGCTTCCAGCCTGAGAAGGTGCTGCAGGTACAGCTCATGCTAGGTGGTTTCATGGTGCCCAAAAGTGTTGCTTATGAGACTGGCATACAGTACAGAATTAATT